TATATATATATATAAACACACCAACATAAATATTCTTGAAAATTATTCATGACAGCAAATTACATGCCAACTTACCTGTCATTGTGCATGTGTGTGTTTCTGCTGTTAATCTTTGTGGCGGTTTGTGGATTTTGGCAGCAACAAGACAAGTAAGGAGGAGACGCTGCTCCAGAGGAAGACTGCAGCCAGTGCACCTCCTCCCCCGAGCGAGGAGGCCATCAGCAGCACATCGGAAGACGACTCGGAGGAGGACCGCGACGACGACGGATCCGTGTCCCAGCGCTCTACCCCGATCAAACTGCTAACAGAGTCTGGCGAGAGTAATCGCACACAGGAGGTATGAAAACACAAAGCATCTAATGACAAATGTCTGGAGATAAGTTTACATGTTCAAATACAAATGTACACATCAAGGAAATGCATTCACACTGCAGCAATGAGTTATACAATAAGAGACACTTCAAGGAGGAATTGAAAACACAAGTTAAACAAACGGATCCAAATTTGTATCCCCTCGCTTTATTGTTTGATTATGAGGAAATAAAGCAACCTATCAAATGAGATCCTCTTATGATTCAAGGATATGTAATCTCCTCTAAGGACCTCAGGGAAATTCGCAGTTTAGGCTGCGTTGATGCCACCTGCTTGTATTTTGGGCCTCAAGAGCATTTTTCATTACAATTTGAAAATGTCCCCCTAATTGTATTTTCTCCTCTCCGCCTCCCCGGAGTCCTCCAGAAGAAATTAGTTCTGTTTTCTGTGTGCGTCAGATGCAAGAGTAGACGTGAACTTAAACAGCCTCAGTGACAGGGGTTTCCAGAGCAGAGGATCTAAATTGTGTGGGTTTGTGTTAATGTTGGTTTTAGAGGAGAATAAAAGAGAGGTATTTATGTAATCATTCCTCTCTTTGTTTCACATCTCTAACTCACTGTTTCTACACTCAGTCTTGCTCTTGAGAATACATATCCTTCTGCACTTTCATATAATCTGTTTTTCTAAGTCTTTGGTTGGAAAAGGGGTTGGTTGCTTACATGCTGGTTAAACTGAATCCACTTGAGTTTAAAAGTGGTTCAGTTTTCTAAAAGGAACCTGATTTTGTACATTATGCAGCCTTTTGATACCAACTGGAATGACATAACTAGTTTATATTTAGTGACATTTCAGTCTAGAGGGAAAAAGGGGTCAAATTAATACTTTTTTTGTCTCAGTTACCTTTAGTGATAGAGCTGTGTATTTTAAGTAAAATATAAAAGCTGAAATCTATCATCATTTTATTGGTATATAATTATATCCGTCTGTATGGTATTAATGCTGAAAAATATGGTATTCATGCTTGACAAAAGTAAGTTTCCATTACAAAATTAAATTTTTATATAAGAATGTTTTTCGATAATTTCCTTACTTAAAAGATAAAAGCTAAACTTTTTAAACTAGAAATTAATTCTTAAGGTGGATCAGAACTAGCTCTGCACAATTCATCAAAATAATAATAATAAATAAAATAACGCAATATGTGTGCAATATCCAAATCGCAGTAGCCACTATTTTTTGATAAAGGTAAAATGTGTGACAATCAGTATTATAATGGAGTACTGTAGTGCTACAGAGATGCTTCTTCAGATTTGAGAAAATGTTTGTTTAGTAGTAGTAATATGATTTTAATAAATGGAAATTATGATGCAAAAATTATAATTATATAATTATAAGATTAATTATTATAATAATACGATTTTTTCTTTTTTTTACCATATCGTGCAGCTCTGATCCAAACCCATATTTAGTTGGAATCATGTTGTAGCATTGACCTGGGTAAGGTCTTTTTGTCTTGACTATTGAATACTTTTGCAATGAATTCAGTTCAATTCAGTTGTATTTGTAAAGCGCCAATATATAACAAAGGTTATCTCAGGACAATTTTTAAATAGAGTAAGTCTAGACTGTACTCCTGATGAAATCATTCACAGAGACCCAACAGTTCCCACCATGAGCAAGCACGTAGCAACGACAGTTGGTGAACAACTGAAAATTATAACACTGACTGTGCAAGAAGCATTCTTGCTGAAACCAGTCAGCCATGTCTTCAGCTTCTAATGCAGTGCGCTCATTATCCTGTCCAGCATGATCAGGATTTTGCTGGTATTTTATAGCAACATTACTCGTTCCCAGTTATGGTGTTTGCTTGTGTATATGTCATGGGAAATGTAGCAGAATGATCCGTTCTTTTATGACTTCCTCCTCTAAGGCCCAGGTATCATTAAGGAGTTTAGTAGGACATGTGCAGTGGGATTTCGTCTGATTTTAGAACATCAGGTGATATGTGGTCACCTGCAAGTGTCAAATTTTTTGATGCCTCATTTAATCTCCTCTTTTGGATTCTTGCCAAGGTTGATGTGAAGGTTTAAGTCTGCTTTGACAGTATCAGTGCTTTTTTCTTTCCAGATAAATCTGATAAGAGATCAGTTGAGTTATTACAGTCTGGCAACAACATTATTTTGTTAAGTCTGTAGAAGATCAGCTTTCTTGGTGTCATCTATTATTTTGTTCAGTAGGCCAGTCAAGTCTAGAACCAGTCTAACAAAGAAAATCAGCTAATTAAAGTTGTAGGAGAGACTGTAACAGTGCTCTAGTCAGGAAGTAATTGTCCACCACCTAGCTACAAATAACAGCCTCATGTCTCTGGCCTACATGGTCTGTTATCTTCGTTCCATTTTTCATTTTCTGAAAAAGCTGCCACACCTCCGATTCTCTAACAGTATGGTGCATCCTCAATTTCCAAGTCTTCACCTGGGGCTGCCATGTCTTTGTGCCTTGATACAGCTACTGACGCGAGTGATAGGACGTTAAACAAGCATAGTCCAAAGTAGACGAAACGGTATCACAATACATTTTTCCATTTAATTGTCTCACAATATATTGTTACATTCCTACTAGCTGCTGTGCTGCACACAGTATTAAAGGACCAGTGTGTAGGATTTTGTGGCATCTTGTGGTGTAGTTGCTTGGGGTGGGGCGATATAGTATATTATTGCATATCGCGATATAAAACACTCACAGAGTTATCGTGATGAATTTCTTTTATCGTGATAATGGTGAATATACTCACATGGCTTGACCTGAAAGCTGATCTATTTTGAACAAGCGGACAAATGGGAGCTCATATCTTTCTTGTCATTCCAAAATCCTAAGCCTGACACCATGGCTGAAGGCTCAACTTGCCCGTTGTATCCCTCAGAAAAAGTCGGATGTGTGGAAATACTATAGATTCTAAAATAAAGAACAGGGAAATGAGGTGTTCTATCCATGATGCAATAAATATGTGTGTTTCTTTACCAAATGTCGGTGAAGTGATTCCAGTATGTATATTTTTATGATTATCATGATAATATCGTGTTCCACAATTATTTTGACCATGATAATTGTGACTTTTGTGAATTTTCATATCATCCTATGCCTGGTAGTTGCAGATTGCAACTTTCTCGCTTCACTCTTCAGAGAGAGAGAGACACAGTATGGGTGTGACAAATTCCCACAATCTGTCATCACTATATTGGTATCTGTTTCACGCCCCAGGTGGACTGGTCGCACGTTTATGTCCCTCATTGACCCAGATTTCACACCACAGCACAGAGAAAGAGCACGTTAATCAGCACAGGTAGTAGGTCAGTGTGTCAACCAGATGACACAAATTTACCAGGAAACAACATTCTCTGGGAATTTCTCACTTTTATGTAACATGTCTTTTATGATGCATAAGGAGCCCCAAATGATGTCTAAACTGTTTATTGCAGCAGCCGTAATGTTTCTATGGCTACAGGCACTATTTACAGCCATTGTGACATCAGCAGGAGTGAAGTGCCTCCTTCTGCCCATACTTTGCCCCTCTGTCCTAATTTACATACATAATGTCTGATTCACTCTGAGAAACACATTTTGTTTGTCTGTTTGTGGCCATAGTCCCAAGGGTCTTGTTGGCCGGGCCCTCAACAACCAGGCAGCCCTGTGAAAGGAGTTATATTTCCTCCACTGTCAAATATGTTGTATCCAAACGAGGATTGTGGGTAATTCAGATCTGTGTGGATCAGATGCTGTCAAGTGTTTGCCTTGCATCACTTGAAGGCTCAGGCAGCCCACGCTGTTCAAACACAATCCCTTTCAGCGCTTAAATGAAGGGACTGTGATAAAGATGTCAGACATTGCTCCACTGTCATCTTCTGTCAACAGCTGTTAAAACAAAACTCTATATCAAATGGACAATTTGTTTTATTTTTTAAGTAGCGTGGCTATATAGATAGCAACAGCTATCTATCGTTAGACAGATTTGGACCGAACTAAACTATGCATGGTGCCCAGGGGATGAATCCTACTGATTTTTTTCCTCTAGTGTTACCATGAGGTCAAATCTTTCACTTATCCTTTGAAATATCTAAACATCTTCTTGATGGATTGGCACAAAATGTATACAGTCATTCATGTTCCCTACACTGTATATGCTAATGACTCTGGTTGCTGCTTTTGTTTAAATCAAATCAAAATCACATCAGAGTACCTTTATTTATCCTTTAGGAAGTGTTTAGTCTTGACATGTAACATTTGAGAACTTGAGAAGTGCTGGACACAGTTGGAAACAGCTAGTATGACTCTGTCTACAGGTTGAAGAATCAGCCCTGCAACACTGCTCACAGTTGCTGATTAGCAGCTTATATCTCATTTGATTAATCTGTACACAGAACAGTCATGTAAAACCAGCAAGTTGTGGTTTTAGTTGTGGTTTTACAGTGAATTATATTATGTACATATTGTAGACGGATATTGAAGATGCTACAAAATGGTCTTTTTTTACTTTTGTGTATCAAGAAAGACAATCTGTGCAAGCGAAATTACAATAGTTTTCAGTTTTTGATCTTCAGAGTTAGAGCCAATGGCTCTCCCTCCTGTTCCATCTGTCTCTTTCCCCTCCTGATTTATGATGTATACTCTGTAGGTTTTCTCTGATCTGTCTTCTCTGGGCCTTGAGCAATGAGCTGGTCATGAATATTTCGGGCTGGACAGCTAGCTCACGTGCTGGGCGCACACACTCACTCTCATGCGTCTCGTGTCCCTGCCGCCGAGCCTGTCCCTCAGAATGGATTGCCTGGGTGCCAGCACAACACAAAACTGTTGAAATATTTAAACATCAGATCATTACGACGTTTGCCATGTAATTACACATGCTCATTTCATATTCCCCTCAATATGGGCGTACGTGTGCCCGCATGAACATGGATAGATTTGCAATGCGTGTGGGTGTATGTATAAGCAAGTATGTGTTTACACACTCGTCTGTGCTGTCGAACACCGTATGAATGTTTATAGGTTCGTGTTCCCGTGCTCTGTGTTTATGAGAGGGTCTGTGTGTTTTTGTGATTGTGTCTCTAATGCCGTGTGTTTGTGTGTGTTCACAGCTGCTGTTTCTTGGACATGGTCCTGGAACACTCTCATTCGTTCGCCCGTCCCTGGAGCTCAGATCAATACAAATACAGTGACAATCGAATGCATTATGTTGAGCATATTGCTGCAGTGTCAGAAAACAGTCAAAGAGAACAATGGCCTAGCTGACTGCTTTACAGCCACTCCTGTTACATAACAAGCTTCCCATGGTCCTTGTAGCGTTATAGAAAGATTCATATTTTGTTTAAGAAATAATTTTCAAACCTTTTTCTGAGTATTTTCTGAGGACATTCTGAACAATCTGTTCTATACTAAGGTATAATACTGATTGTTAGGTTAGTCTGTGGCTGTGAGCTGTTAGATGTTGGGTTGGAAAGTGTTACCATATGTACTGTGAGACAAAAGGGACAATTCTTAATGACAATAATGCATTGACAGAATATTTGCATAAATACGATAAAGTACAGAAATTTTATTATTTCCCTTTTCAAGATTAAAACAGGCGGCACAACTCTTCTCCAATACACTGCGGTTTTGTCACCATTTTATCCCAACATTTTTGCCTTCATCAGGGTGGTATCTGAGGTTGTTGTGTCATGTGACTGATTTGAGGTATGCAAATGTATCATCATCCATGTTAAAAAATCTTAATTCACAGACGTTTCCATATGGGTATTTGATCTATAAATGGTCTCTTAAATACATTTTTAGTAATTTTACAATATTAACCATATTACAAAATATATTTTTAGATATATTTCCCCAGTGTACATTCAGATCATGCTCAGTTGTTATAAAATGGTCCGATGTCATTTGCCAAGAAAACAGTCACAACCAACAACCCCGCAATCTCTCACCATGACACAAGGCAAGATGGATTCATGCTGTTTACATGAAATTCCCGCCCCACCACCAGCATGTGAACATAGAAACTGAGATTAATCAGATCAGGCAACGTTTTCTCACTCTTTCCTTTTTGGTTTTGGTGAGCATGTGTCCACTTTAGCTTTATAGTCTTATCCTTTGCTAACAGTAATGTTATTAGCCTCACTCTGCTGCGGTAGACCGCTGTTTGTTCCACGATTCAGCAAGTTGTGTTCAATAAGTTCTTTTTGTACAGCATTGTTGCACTGAGCTGTCAGTGTTGTGCTTAACAGAAAGGCTTGAAACTAAGAACCTTTATTAAAATAAAAAATTCTGAAATATCTTTTTATAAACTGGGCTTAATGTGGCTTAATTACTTGTTTTCTAAGAAACGGAAAAGCTTGACATAAATCATAGCATGTCCTAATGAGGAAATTTATATTGTTTTTCTTTTTACTTGCTGTTATCATAGCATTGCGTACTGATTTATAATTATTATTCTCTGCAATTGTTTTATTTCATTTTGTAACAGTTGTAGGTGATTAAACCATATTAATCTCTTGTTATATATCGTGCAATAATGCAATTGTTTGGTTTTTTTAACATTGTTTTTACCAGAGTATACCTGCATGATCAATGGCCTTGTTTATAATTTAAAACTTATTTTTGCTTTTATTTATGTTCAACTTTTTATATTAAGCTTTTCAGAATCCGCCTGAACCGGTCTGACCTTCTTAAACTGGTCTCTTGTTTGTTATGATTATCATGTCTTTTTTTGGACAAAATAATGTCAAAATAATTTTGAACGCCGAGTGCAAGAACCCCAGGAGGGCACTGTCCCTAAACATAAAACCACCTCATCCGACACCAACAATCACATTACATTCATTGTTGCTTAGGTTACGCTCCTTGGGCTGTCCTTTATTAAGGAATCAGTGGTCGAGAAGCAACTGAACCTGATGACCTTGTCTGTATGATTTTTATGTTGAGTTGCAGCTCCTTGATTTGCTGTTTGAAGGACCTGGCTGTTAGCATGTAGCTTTACCTTTTATCTCTCTGTATTATCTTTAACAGTCCTTTTAAAATCCATTTTTGTCAAAACCTTTGTGTTTTTCTGTCCCTGTCACATGCACCTGTAGCTTCATACTGTTCCCTTCTCACCTCTCCAGGAGATCCAGCACCACCAGCAGCAGCAGCAGCAGCAGCAGTCAGTTAAGGAGCCCTATGGACTCAATCTGGCTGAGTTTCCTGCTGAGGAAGACCAGCTCATTTATGAAAGGTGATAGACACAAGGCTTGCACAAACATGCATACATGCACTTCTTGAGATTACAATTAATGCACACATTGTGAAATGATTAGCCACAGTATATGGGGTTTTTACAATCTTTTAAGTTAGGATATTTAAGTCATTTCTATAACTAATGTAGTAATAACTGTCTGCATGTATTTAGTTCTCATAGATAAAGTACTAAAATGACATGCAAAACTGTGGCACTAGTGATTAATAAGACATATTATGTTAATACTACAAGTCTACTGCCATGCTAGCAGCTCCGTGGCAATGCTAACAGCCTGATAATGAACAGGTGTAATGTAATTCACCTTATTCACCATGTTAATTTAGCATGTTAGCATGCTAGAATTTGCTAATTGGCATTAAACACAATAGTACAGCTGCGGCTAATGAGGATTTCTTTACTGTGCTACATGTACTTTGTCAGAAATCTAGTAGTAATAGCAGTATAGTATATTGCATTGAACAAAAGAAAATTTGAGCTGATGATGGTGCTAAAATAGTCAAAGGATCACCCAAAGTAATTACAACTCATTCTGAGGGGGACATGGATGTCTGGACCAAATTTCATGGCAGTCCAATAATTGTTGAGATCCACACCACACCCACTGTATGGGCTACATATTGCATAAAAAAATGAATGATGGATGGATGCTGAGAACACACACACAACTCTGGGTAAATGTTTTTGTCTCATACCTATCAGCCTCTGTTTGTTTGTTTGGCCTTCAACTCTCATGTTCTTTGGTGCAACATTGAAGCAAAAGCCTTATTTTCTGTCCTCTTTCTCTGCCCATTTAAGTGGTCCTGAGGAAAAGTCTTTCTTTTTATTGTTATGGACAATGCACTCAGTGCCCAAGACAGAGAGGCGAGGAACAAGCAGTCAGTGTCAGCAGCCCCCTCAGGGTGATATGGGTCATTTTGCAAAAGGGGCAATGTCAACTCTGCCCTGCTGTGTGCATCACACTTCTGACCTCACTGTTCTTTGTCTACCTCTTTCTCCCTTTACCCCTGAGTTTCATTTTCTGTCTGTCCTTTCTATTTCATGTTGTCCTTGTTTCCTCCCAACCATGTTGATGAGCTACACTGAATAGCCGTCGTCAGACTGAACACAACTATCTACTACATTTGACACAGTGTGATGCTTTTCATGGAGCTTTAATAGCCTTTTTTTCTCACACTCGGCTCAGTTATTATTTCAGTGTATGGTGTTTCAAGCGCTATGTTATATATGCACTTCATATTATTATACAGTATATTAATTACAATTAGTAAGTTAATATTGGAGGTTTGTACTTATGGATTGAGAAAAAACAAGCATTGTGATGGTGTTACTTTAGGCTACAAACCAAACAATCAATTGATTAATGGAGAAAATAATTAATCCAGATTAATCCATAATGAAAATGATTATTTGTTGCAGTCAAAAGAGTTAAAAATTCGCTCCAACTAAACCAGCTACGACAGTAAAGTCCTACTTTTACATGCATGAGTAATAATAATCTAACGCTACAACAGTATAAGTCACACAGGACATTTTTCTGCACTGAGTAATACTTACAATATAAGGAGCGAAGGTGGCCTTGTGGGTAACATGTGTATGTGACGTTATCTAGTGGGTTTGTTGTGGGAAGTTAGTCTCTCCTGTGTGAGAGAAGAACCAGCACGTTGTTGCAGTCACAAAAAAGTTCATACAATGTCAATACAGTGTCCTCCAGCGTTCTTCACAGCAGAGTTGTTTGAAACCCTTCTTACCAAAGAGAAATGTTACCAGCGAGCTAGCTAGATAACTGTAGCGGCTGTGTCAAGTGTGGGTCTATCACAGAATACGTTGCACCCGTGTGTAGAGTTGATGCAACACAAAACATGGTTCAATCAACTTATGTGTTGTAGTGATGAGAGTTTGTAGTGAAGTAAGCCTATTTCAGCAACCCTCCACTGGCGGATGACCTCATGAGGCCAAATGTGAGTATATTTTTACTCACATTTGTGGCGAGTAGTACTTGGGGCCTTTTAGAAATAATTGCTGTCTCTGATAATGGCCTGTCTCCAAATATAACTCTGGTTCTCTTTTCAGATGAGGTAAATAAACATTGTTTTACAATTGACATTATGCAGTCCTGTGTTGATACCTGACACTTTTAAGTACTGTGGAACTAACATTTACTTTTTTATTTCTCAGATTTGTATTTCTGACTTCGATGACAGGCACAGTTTTGAGGGTGATTGAAGAAGAGGGATTGTATCCAAATTGTAGTGAAGAATGTTGTTCATATCCTCCTACTGTAGTGGCACATAATGAGAATGAAACTGCATTCATTATTGAGGCTGGAAGTTGGAATGGCTCCAGAGATGTTAGCTCCAGCCTGAGCTCTGCTAATCAGTGCATTAATATTAAAAATCATAAGCAACAGCCAGAGGGGAACTCTCAACTAGTGCATATTATTGTGTCTTTGCGAGAGAAAAATAACCTACAGGGAAATTTGAGATTTGATGATGATGTGCTCTGAGCATTGGAGTTCTTAACAGACGTGTTTATCTCTTCTCTGAGTATTTGTATTAAAAAATTGACAATATTAACATGAAATTTAAAGGGTCCTTTAGAGCTCAGTTACCCTGTTACCCAATTACCTTTTATAAATGGCTCTTCATGTGATGAAGATGGAAGGAGCATGTAGCAGAGACAAATGTGTTCAGTGTGTTTATATACTGTAGACCTGTGGCGTATTTTGCATATTTGTCTTTTTCATTTTGTGTGTGGTTTTTTTTTTTTTTGGCAGGTTTGCACATCTGGGCGAGAGCCAGCACAGGGTGGAAAGAACTGAACGCATAAACCTGGCGCACATCATCTGCTTGTGAGTAAAACATGTGACACATTAACCCCCAACACACACACACACAGAAAAAACAAAAACATATGTACCCAAACTTAATAATCCTCACTCACGTGTAATGAGAAGCATTACATTGTAATATTGGTTTGAAGTTATAATCCGACCCTTTTAAACACCACTCAGCATTTCCAGTAGCCTTGGGACAAGTGAACACAGTTGCTCGCACTAAGTGGTCTCCAGGGAGACCTCTAGCTGTGCACTGTTTAATCTTCATCTCTTATAACCAATTTCTTTAGTCAATACACTCCTTCACCTTCCTGATACTGCGGCCATGACCCAGCGGGTCATAGACGGAGTATTTTTTTCTTCATCCAGACTCAAAATTCAACCACACGTGGGATGACAATGTGCAGCCATAAGCAGATGCATAAGCAGTTTCCCTCTTGCACTGTTTCTTTCCAACTCCAGCTCTCACACACACACACTCAAAGACAGCATCTCAATGACTCAATGAAATATGTATTCTTCTGAATTCTTTCTTTTGCTCTTTCCCTTTTTCAATCGCTCCCTCTCACGTGTACTGCATGTTTGCTAATGCTGCAACACTGGGACTCCAAACGGGCTCCAGTGTTTTTATTTAATCATATCAGAGAGAAAGAATGTTGAGATGCAATGGCAGCTCATGTTAACTTTCTTTCAACCTCTTTTAATTATTCTAACACTTACATAAATATGCTTTTATACTGTATGCACAAGCATACAACAGGCCACATTCTTTACAGTTATATCATCAAAGTAAAAGACAACTTGACATTTGCATATGCAATGTCAGATATTCAAACATTTTACAGGCGTATTTTGACATTTTAGGAAATGCAGTTATTTGTTTTCTTGTTGAGAATTAGATGAAAATATAAATACCGCTGTCTTGTCTGTACTGTAAATATGATGCTACAGCTAACTTAAGGAGTTGCTCATCAGCTGTAAGAGTGGTATCAATCTACTATCTCACTCTCCACTAGAAAGCAAATGAGAGGCCTGAGTTCAAAAATATAAGGAAGTAAAATGTTTGTAAAGTTTTGTCATTTTAATGGAACAGTACTCTGCACAAGAATAGTGTACCATTCACTCAGTGCAGTGGTCTTCTCAAATATATCACTCCCCATAGATGGAATAACCCTTTTAACCCCACTGAAGATGAGAGATGCTTAAGGACGGTGTTTGAAGGCGAAAGAGCCTCGAGGCAGCCGAGGCACGAGAGAAAACAGGCGGGCTTGTTTTTTTCCTTTGATTTAAAAATACATCCAGCTAGCCAGATGGACTGTGAGGTCTACCTATGTGCATCATAGCTGTATGGAACATAAATAGAAATTGGTGAAATTATACCTGTACAGAAGCAGAGAGGAGAAAAATATATCCACGTGGTAGTGTTTTTCTTTATATTTGTTGCACTCTGCTGAGAGAGAGAGAGAGAGAGAGAGAGAGAGAGAGAGCAGGTGATGAGATTTCTGTTTGTACAATACTTCCCTGTTAACCAGTTTTGTAAGAGGACCATGAGTTAGAAGGTTTGTCATGGCCAAACATTTCATAGAAAGCCAGATGGAGCCTGGGTCTCTATTCAGAGGAAGACATGTTGGATATCATGTGAAACTAAAAAAGAGGGTTAAGGAAAGTCGGTAAGATTTACAGGGCTCTATTGATAGAAATGGAATATAATGTTCATAGGTTTAATTAATTAATATATAGTAGAGCATAATCGCCTGAAAATAAGAATCGTGTTTTCGTAACCTTAGATTGAGCCATTTTTATAGGCACAGCAGTGCTTTGAGCTAAATGCTAACATCAGCATGCTAACATGCTTATATTTACCATGTTCATACCATGTTATCATGCTAACATTTGTTAATGAGCACTGTGCTCAAGTGCAGCTGAAGCTGATGGGAATATCATGTCATTTTTGCAGGAATTTGGTTATGAACCAAAGGAGAAATAAATGGATATCTGCACCAAATGTTTGTTCTGTCAGACAGTGATGCAGCCCAGATCTGGCAGGCACATGGATTACTTGTGCTTGTAATGATAATAAGATGGAAATTGGTGGCTTGAAGGAAGGGTGGAGGAGAGGGTGCTGAATGAAATGTCTCAGAGATTTTCTAGCCTCTGACTCTATCTTTAGAAAGCGGTCTGTAATCTTTTCAGAGTGAACACATGGCTCTTTGTGGCTCTCTTTGAACATGTGACTTTCTTTTTTGTACATACATGTTGACTGAAATACCATTTATTTTTTAGCACAGTTGAAAGGTCAGCAACATCAGTCAGCATGGAACATTGACGTCTTTTTATCTTAGTTCAGTTCGCATCTCCCCTCGCCCACCTATATCTTCACCTTTCCTGACTCTGACCATTCATTAATCCTTCCATCCATTGTTGTTATCCTCACGTCAGGTCCACTGGGTCCGGCAAGCGTGTCTGATGTTGTGCAACAGATCTATTCTAAGACACTGTTACAGCACCCAAAACATGTTTGCACTGTTAGGAGCCCTTTGGTCAGTCACCTCCCTCTGTGTAGTTCCTCTATTGACCCACCAGGCTTAGGCAAAGCTGACTCAATTGGTAGAGATAAAAGCAGACAGGATATGAATACTATGGCGGATTCCTGTTGAGAAGCATCAGTGAGGTGTGTTGATTTGTTTCCTCCTTAAATTATGATTAGCTTTGAAGTCACAGGTCCAGATTAATGGAGTTATGACAGACTAAAAAAAGATCTGTTACCTTCTTTAAAGTGTTCATGTGTAATTAAGGTGTTACACAGAGATCAGATGTTTTATTCAAGCTGTTTCGTAATTATGATCACCTTTAAACTGGCAGTAAATTCATTTAGTTCAGTTTTTTTTTAAATACTCTTAAATGTTTGGAGACAGATGCACAGTGAGATTTTCTGCTTTTCTGTATTTGCCAAAATGCTCATCTAATATGTAGCTCACACACTATTCTCCATTCTCTATTGGAGAATAGGGGTTTCTGTTCTCCAATCTATATTTCACATCCATTTCCACACTTTTTTCACACTTGTGAATCCACTGTTTTACTCTACATTTCACATCTCTTGACATGTCAGCAGGCTGTAATGATTATCTGTAAGAGCCGCTGGGATGTCACCACAAGAAAACAGACCGAACACAAATTGTTCAATTAAACAAGACTTGTCTGTTTAATTGACAACATAGCATGACCCACAGACCACTTTACTGAAGCATAGTGTGTTACTTCAAATGCGAATACACATTTGACATTCTAGGTGTATATAAAAAAGGGAAATATTGCCAAAACTGCACCCTTGTTTCTTTATATTTTTGTGTATTTATTCCAATGCATTGTTCTGTCCCACATGTGCTGTACACTGACATGCACTACTCACCAGCAGGCCTATTTTCAACCGGCTTTGTATCCTTACAATGTTGGCAGTATATGAAAAAGTACAGTTGTACAAATGATCACGTTGGCTGCACCCAGAGCTCCCCGCTGATTTGCTGGCAAAAGTCGGCTATAGTTGACTCTCTATGGGTGCTGTTTGGTGATGGCTCACGAAACCCAGATCAAACCATCGAACTAGATGTCATATAAGAATTAAGAGTCTGTTGCTGCATTTCTCGTTTTAAATGTTTTCAGAAATATGTTTTAGTTTACTGTTTAGCTGTAATATGAAAAAACTTTGCGTGAAACCCCTCTTCTTTTGCTCTGGTTAAATTAGCATCACTAGCTATCATTTATCGTGATAAACCAATTCTTAAATAAAAATGTGTGCTACTTTTGGATAAAATTGTGACTTCAGCCTGTCCAAAAGCACCAACAAACGAGATAAACTATATATTTAAGCCCTATTCCATGACGGGCTCACGCGTCTTCGTTGCCCTGAGCCGGCGCATCTTTCTGTTTCAAGTTGGGTGTTATCAGTATATATCTGTTTGGGAGTGGAGCTTTAAATTACATTAAACCCGTAGTTGAGGACTCCATGCCATGATGACACTCAAGTACATATTATTTTAATTTTTGTCTTGCCACAGCAGATAACCAAGGAGGTGCACTGGTAATGCAGCCATGTGTCTGAGCAGCCTTTTACCGGGGCCTCAGCTGCTGTTGAACTAGCTGACTGAGACGTTGACCTGACAAGCATGCAGTTGATAATCTACTCTTAAGATGATGAGACATGCTTTGTAATCTTGTTTCCATGAAAGTATGAGTAATTCTGCGTGGCCATCCTCATGTTTTTTCCATTAACAGTCCTCTTAATGACCTGCACTCTCCGGCAGATTTTCACCAGATCTCGTCGGTTGGATTCAAACATTTTTCTAGGCCATGATGCATTTTTTTTTTTTACCATCTCGTGACAACTATAGATAGAAACCACGTTTCCCTGATGAGAAATTTAAACGTCATGGCTTGTTTTTCTACCACCAAGTGATTTGTCTAATATTAGTTCTTCCATACATCCATTATTTGATACATGCTTGCGCCCATCTGTCTTTTTCTCCTCTTTCTCTTTGTCCCCTCCATGTCAGAGAGCCAGTGTCTTGCTTCCCTGAGGACAGCATCTACGCCGCTTTGCCTCCGCAGGTCGACAGAGACAGCCGCGATGAGTTCGAGAGCCATGTGATGACGGGTCAGGGCCAGGTGAGGGTTCTCTGCAGGGACGACATGTTGATGTACAGGGAGTACGTCAAGAACAGATATATGTGAGACAGTGACAAACAGGACCTGGATTCTCTGTTACCAATATGCAAATCAAGACTGGAATACTTTTGTTTGTAGCTATAGGATAGAGCAAGAGATCTACCTCTTAGAGTTTTGTATGCTTGGAGGAGATTGTCCATATTGAAGAATGAACAACTCATATGTCCTGTATTTGGACTAAACTATGCTGGTTGATTTTCTTTTCTTTTTAATCAGTCATTTTTGTGTTTTAATAGCTTCAAATTGTGTCCAGTTATGTCAGTGTTTTTTATTCATTCAGACATGCCTACTACCTATATGGTGCTTTTTATTTGTTCATTGTGTTATTTTCCATCAAATAAATTTTAATCGCAACTCTTTTAAGAAGATTTATTTAACTATATGTAAATTTCAGACATGTAAACTCATGTAAATTGATGTAAATTGCTTTGACTCTGTATTTCTATGCTGGGACCATTAATGTGATGGCAGGCCCAAAGATTATGACCACCTTGGTTGTGCTTTAAGTTGGCATTTTCTTTTTTTTAATTCATTCTGTTAAACAGGTTTTCAAGTCATTTGAGGTTTAACAACGTTGAAAAAGCCACTATAGGAATATACGTTTATACGTTTACAACTTCAAACAGTCTTACATAATGTAATACATGTACTGTAAATATATATCCAGACCATTTGACTTTTTTCCTATTTTGCGCAACACACCACTGATATTGTGGGTTTTTATCAAACCCCATTTTTAGTTTACAAAACTGCACATTGATTTTGTTTTGTTTAAAACATTTCTGTTATGTCAGCTGATTATTGTGCATTTAGTTCTAAATTAAACATTTATTTATTGACGTACTGTGTCAGACTTGTTGCTGTTTTCTACACTGCAACTTTTTCCCTCTTTGCTCCTCTGTTTTTATGTCTGTGCTCGTTTGTTCTTCAGTTTTTGACATTCAAATATTGAATATTGTTTCTTTCATGCAGCCTCTGTAATGTTCTTCATCTCTCCCACTCTCCCCTACTGTCTTTCTCTCGTTCCCTTTCCCCCGTTAATGCACCCTATTTACTTTTGTTCTGTCTATCACACTTTTCTCCCTCCTCTCAGTCAGTCTTTTTGTACTCGGTTTTCAGCCACAGGTGTCAGAAATGTGAACAGTGATGAAGACCGCCTCTCCTTTAATACACACACAAACACAAACACACACACACACACACACACACATTCAGTCAGCTTACTGATTGACCACTGCTCTCTGCATCAGTGCCTCGTGAGTTGAAGGGGGGGAGCAGCGGAGGGGTGCTTTAGCATGTGATGTGTTAGAGAGCGACAGGGGAATTAAAGAAAAATAACTGCTCCACCATAGTTAAGACCAAATTAACTCAACAGAGGATAAAGAAGATGGAATGTTTTTCACCCACCTTCTATAATTTTCAGACCTTGCAGCACTATCATTAAAATTGTTAAGTGCTGGGAGATGTTCAGAGTGCACTACAGATAACTAGAATACAATGCAGTGATAGCACATCTCACCCAAAGTGAAAAGAGTCTCTCACCTCTCAATTGGTGTTTCTCTAGCCCCTCTTTTTTTCCCCCTTTTTGAAACCTCTTAGCTGACTCAGAAGATTTCTCCTACATTTCTGCATTGGTACTTGATAAGTCCACTACAGAGGAATATGGATCGAGTCAGGCTGCTCTTGTTCTCAGTGGAAATGTTTTCACTGGATTCCGATAGTTCCTAAGAGTGTCCAATTTGTGATGTGACTTCATTTTCACCTGCTTTTAAATTAAATTAAACTCACAGCAATCTATAGGTCTCATACAAGACTAGTTTTCTAGTGCCATGTATCTCTAATGTATGGGATGGATACCTCGGACCATTTTGTAGTTGTTCTAGTTTTTGTTTTATCTCTACCATATTGGTGTTCCATCACCCTAACATATACATGTTTATATTCTTTTTATCAAAGCATATATAATAGGAAAATTCTGCTTAGATATGGCTCCAAATGGGAGAATAAAGTCTTAAATGACAAATTATAAAGCCTTTAATTGAATGCAATTTTTCTTTTTGTTTGGTAAGGAAACTAGCAGCACTGGGTTAATCTTTTTAAGTATATAAATTGGACAAAGCTGCCACTGTGATTTTACATCCCCCATTATAAGCCCAACAACCTAAGAAATTACATAAAAAATCTTAATTAAAATTTCTTCTTTCTTTCTTTTGTGATATATAATGGATGATTTACTTAGATTTAGTTCTATAAAAATGAACATTTTAATGAAAGTATGCCTCAATTGTAGTCTAATACTAATATTATGGTGACTGATAAAACATTCATGAGCTTGAGCCTCTGAGAAACAGTAAAGTAAAGTTTTGGCCATGTCTTGTAAATGTAGAACCGTGTCTTAGTTAAATTTTCCTCCTAAATTAAGTTGACTAGGATACATTTTACTTAAAAAAAGTCAGATTTAAAGATATTAACTGTAAAGATGATTAAAATCTGCCTTAAAAACTCACTCTGTGTAACATGTCACTATAATTGTTGAACATGAACTCCTCCTCAGGTTGTAAAAATCCCCCCAAAACTCCAGTGTATGAACATTGTGTCCTCAATTGTAGCTGCTTGTGGACCATAACCAAAAAATCACCTAAAATCACTTAATAATAAAACTGTGGGTCTGACTTTTAAGTCCTTTTTCCTGTGTTAATGTAGTACGGCCATTTGGATGACATCTATTCAGATCATCACCATCACCTGTGTTTTCAACCAGTGCTTAATGTCTTAACGCAGTGCTTAAAAGTAATAAGATTTGGGTTATTAGCAATATTTTTTATATTTGTTTATGTAATTATCATAAAATTGAGGTCACAATGACAATCACAACAACACAGTGGGCGAGACACATTTCTAAGATTATGTGATCATTTCTTTTGTGAGTGGTCCACTTATTTCTGTTTCCAGGAGCAATATTGTGTGTCCTCACTGTGTGATTATAATGCAAATGTAATTCATACAATAAATACAACATAATACTTGTAGGATGAAGAAGAAGATGTTTGTGGGTAAATTGAGGTGTTTTATCTTAACAGTAAATCTGTCCCACATTTCATCTCCAATGCCTCCCCTCCTGCCACCCAATGTTTTATAATTTGTCCTCTAAAATCTGTATCCATTCTCTACAGAATTTGAATTATCTTTGTCTGTGTTGCTTTATTAATGGACTTTTTTCTGTCTAATTAGAGATACGCTTCATGTTTCCTAGGTAAATATCTCCATAAGGGTATTAAGTTAAAGTGTTTGTGTATAAGCATGTGAGAGTTTGTAATGCAGCCAGGGGGATTGTAGGTGGATAGGGTTTGTCTCCCATAGGAGGCTGTTTTGAACGGGAGGTCCTTTTTTTTTTTTTTTTTTTTACATAAGGCCCTGTTTTTCTCATGTTTTTATGTTCCTAATGGTATTGTGTCTCATTACACTGAAACCTCTCAGCACACATGGGTACGGATGAATAACTGCATGTTGTCACTGATATTTTTGGGCAGCTTGCTCTTGGTATTCCGCGTAAAAATAGAATAAAGGTTGTGCACCGCTTTGCTTCAATTTGAGAGGAAATTCTGTTTTGTTGTTTTTCATTTAGTCCAGCGCAGAAAACAGTCAGAAATGATTTTGAGGTGTATTTTGGTTCTGTGTGTAGTTGGATATATCTGCCTAGTTCTTTGACATGAGTCACTTGGCACTTCATGTGACCGCTTAGCTTATGAATGAAGACAACCCCCTCTCCAGCCCCCGGTCCACTGACAAAAGGTGGCCAAACAGCTGTTGCCTGGTAACCAAAACTGGTTACCATATTGCTATGCTGCTTTGAATCTCCCCCTACCTCCCACTGCCTCTCAACATGTCATCTATTGTTATATGACATTTAATTGGTACTACAGTTTTACTTCAGATTTGTTTATTTTCATATATAATTGTCTTCAACTACATCTTTACTTCCCATTTAAGTGAAAGCATAGTTATGAGAGAAAAAAAAGTCAAAATAGATGATTTAATGGAAAATTAACAAACAAGGTTTGAAATAACCAATCCAATTGAAGGTGACTCTGTTTAAATAAAAGTAGAACTCACATCTGAACCCTTAACAATAAGGGACGAAGTCTATCAGGTCTCACTGCAGAAAGAGCTTCAATCTTAAAGCAATTTTTTGGCAGATAACAAGAAAATAAGGTAAAGGTGGGTCAATCTATCGAAGCAAAATGAGAAAAAAAGATGTGAACATTCACAGAGGAAAGACAGAAAGAGTACTATCAGTACCTATTGGGTACAACAAGATGTTTGTCCTTGGATTTACCCGACATACTGCATCAGTGCACTGTGTGTCAGCCTAGTGTGAGCCGTGGTGTGTGTCTGAGGTACTGTAACGTGTTGCAGGTATGCAGAATACACAGTGCTCTGAAACTGATCAAACTGATCCATTTCTGCAGACCCGAGAGACGACTTGCTATGGAAATACATACCCAGTTCTGCAGACGGTGCTGCACTGAGGTGGTTAATCTACCCTCCGGAGTTAGCTCACATGTTTTTGCATAGTGTATAGGATTTTTATGCTAACCTTCTCCCAGAGTGCATTAGGTTGTTAGCCAATCTTTTGTTCCAGACCATCTGTTACGCCTACATGAGCCTCTATGTGTTTACAATGGCTCAAATTATTTCTCTCTCTGTCTCCGCTCTTGTTGTTACTCACTCTGACTATGGCCACGTAACAAACACTAGACATTTTGACTTGTTAAACACACAGAACTTTTCACATTAGCAACACCTGCGAACTACTGTTACTGATATTATTTGCATTATTAGTATGACAAGTCAAAATGTGTCCTGTGAGTATGTCTGTAACAGTCACTACAACATTTGATCATCCGCTCTCACTGTGTGTGCAGCTCCACTACTCTGAAGCAAGTTAAGCTAGATACACACTTCCAATAAGTGTTCAAGGCAGAAAATTGCAACTGGATTTTTAATTTTTTTTTTTTATTTAACTGTGAAAATGTAATTGGAAAAAGTGGTTTCAAATAAAAAAAACAATAAACTAAATTAAGACTAAATGTAGTGATTTAATACAGCATTAAAAGGGTATTAATGTCAAATTAGTTACACTGTCCCTCTTTAATAGAATATGCAAGAAAGATGGAATTTATCACCAGTGAACAGAACATTAGTACAACACAAAAATGAATCTACAGCAGCCCAACAGTAGACTCACAGGGATCTAGCTGTTGCCTTAGCAACACATTCAGACTGCACAGTGACAACACACTTTCAGTTGTTCAGTCACAGTGGTAAGTGAACAACTTAACTTTTTAAACTCAGGACGAGCCTCACTCCATCCCAGGCAGACAAAAAACATTCAACAGATTTATTATTATTTATTATTTATCCATCATGCATACACGCATTGCACTAAATAAAAAGTACAACTAAGGTGGAAGCAAAGTATGCATGGATTTGTTTGATTGCAATACATATTAATATTTTTTCAAGCTTTATAAGAACAAGATAAAAGCGCAAAATATGTAAAAGAAAAATAAACTGATGATACTAAAACAAGCACAAATAAAATACAGTACGTGATGACATGAAACACTATAAAATAATGGAAAGGTAAAAATGTTTTTATCTGAAGGCCATAAAGGTAAAAGGTACAGGCAGTGCAGGAGGCACTTAAAAGCTGCAGTGGAGTTTCACACTGAGAGTATAAAGGCTGTTCTCTCTCTTGAAACTCTGTGAAATTAGCAGGCGTTGACTCAGCCCACCTGTTCAGTGTGAAACTCTGTGATACCTTTAAAGGTCTAGT